GAAAAGAACCAGCAGAATTCATGCGAAATTGTTTGTTAAATTTGTGGGCTACCGAACGAATTTTATCCCTCTTTCATTTTTGAAGTTACACTCAATAAGACAGGGTTAACTTCTTTTAGCGCCAACCCAGTACTTAACAAAATATTTAACAAAAATGACCTACTGAAAAAAGAGCAAGAGGCCTGCTATAAGTCATGAGGCTAGTCAGGTTTAACTAGCCTTTTACTGCCCAAATTTCAAAATAATATAAATCTTGCTAAAAACCTCGTTTTCCTTGTATCTTGTATCTTAAGATTAAAATAAACATCCCTCATTATATTATATCTGTTGTTGAGCACTATATTGCTCACCGTGAACAAAAAAAACAACTGCAAATCTATGAATGATACCTCTACTTAAACGACACCAAATGCGGTGCTTTGATTGTTTAAAGCACAATCAATGCTTTGTTTAAATGATTCATAGCATGGATGTGAAGGTAATTCCAGCTCTTGAGGGCAGGTATTGACATTGGGTAGTGTGCCAAATATTTCTTCCATCTGGAATACAGTTATCTTTGATGGATCATGAAAACTGAGAGGAGGAATCTGATTTGTTCTAGTGCAGAACATCAACATATGTGGTAGTTTTTCATCGATATATTAACATTAAATGGTTTTAATTTCTCTTCTCGAGAAAAATGCAGTAGGCTGCAGAAACAGCCAGTGAAATGCTAATTAATTCATGTTGTAGTGGCGAATCAAAAGCGGCTTTCGCGAGCCACAAATTCGTGGGGTAGAAGATGCATGTGTGCAATCTAGCGTGGTTGTAAGCAAAAGTCTGGACACCGCCTTTCATAAATACTGGATCCACCACTAAATCTGCTTTGCAATTGCAGCAATGATTTGTAAATTAATTCATGCTTCATTCTTCAAAGATGGTAATGAAGTCCTCATACACGTACAGGAATTTATACTTATGGTGACTGTTATCATTTGACAACGCACTTACCCTCAGTTTCTATATATTTCAGAAACATGTCCTTCACCCGATCCTCAACCGTTTTCAAAAGTAATCAATGATTTTAATTGATCAGCATCAATTTTATGGTTGGCAGGGTCAAAAATGAAGATCGATCGTATATCTTCATGATGAGTCCACAATAGGTCCAAAAGAGGTTAAAGACCTGAGGCAAGCTGGTCAATGGCCGCTTTTCTTGAGAAGATGACGGAATGGATGCAGAGTGCTCTAATGGCCTCCAACTTGTTTTCCATATTAAGAACTTTGGTGTAACCGGAATCAATTAGCAAGTTTTGTACATCAGGACGTGTTTGTTCAATTTCTGCCACAGTCGTTGAATAGTCAATCCAAAAAATTGAAACAAATTGAACATAATAAATATTTGTATATTTGTACAGTACGGTGGCCCAGGAGTAATTTATAAAAATAGTTACCAATTACCAAACGAAAGATACCTCAAGTAAAAACCGTTAATGCATAGAATATTCATGGCAAAGCTAACAAAAGATATTGCAACGAGACTGAAAGATGTTGCAAAATTGCGCCGGGGTACGCTCATCCTCTCGACGTCTCTGACTATATGTACACTAAACAAATAACATTTCAATCTGCAATATTTCCTGTTTCTTAATGAATTTAAAATCGTATTCCACCTTTTGTATTGCTTCCAATATATCCAAATCCACTACATCATCTTTGCTGATTTGGCTTAAAACTTTGTCAGTGTGGCGCAACAAAGTAGCCGTAAATGTTAAGTGAAAACTTTGGAAAGCCTGGACCACCATTGAGGACACTAGCAGTTATCATCTTCCCAGCAACTTTATACAATCCGGCACAGATAGCATATATATTATAAATATATTTTCATATTATTTATATTTTCATAAATCTGGAATATACACAACTTTAGTATTCTCAAACGTATTTCACTACAAATCTGAATGTGTAATATGATAGACGACATTATAATTTCATTTAAAAACTCCATTTTTTAAAAATATTCGCGTGCAAAAACCAGTTGAGAGGTAAACATAAAACTTCTGAATTCGTATGAGACGTCTGATGTTACATTTCATAGTAATTAATAATTAAAATAATTTACCATAACACTGACTATAGATGAGTAACTTAACTTCCAGAAAATGGTTGGAATCTCGTCGTATTTTTGCCTTTTTTTCACAAAAACATGACGGTAAACTTTGATTCTTTGAAAATATACGGCCCTTGCAATGTTGGTTGCGAGTTGCTATGACTACAGTGCTTCCGCTTCCAGAAATATATTTCCATTCTTCTTTTCTCACATACCAACAACACCAAGTACCCTCCAAACTACCCAACCCACACAAAATTTTTCAACTATCATGTTACCATCCCCCTGCTTAACTCATTTCACTTAACCGAGGCGAGGGGTTGCCGCATGCATGTATTTTTAGTATCAATAATATCACATTTGTTTGCTGAAGACCAACCACTTTCTGTTGTTGGGTTAGTCTTGTGAATTGTGATCTGCATCTGCTCTTGATTTGCTAAAAATAAAAAGACTCTGGGAGAATTGGAAGAATGGCATTAACATGGATGGATGGATGGATGGGAGGGAATGTGCACTCAGGTCAAAGGAGGTGCAGGGTGGGGACAGACTAAAATTTGAATACAAATTTGGATAATTTTGCATGAAAATCAGTATTATAGTGTATAAATACAGTATTATGGTGTACTGTACTTGGGAGTTGAGAGGGCTCTGATATTCTATACAGCACCATATCATCTTATTTTATATTTTTTTCAAGCAAACAGCTGGTGCTTCTACCGGCAACAGCTGTCCTCCACCCACTGCCCCTACAAAACCACATTGGGCATCCTTAGGCATTAACTCATAAAAAGGTGAAGGCAACACAATTTACACAATTTATAACACAACAAAAAAACACAATCTCATGGAGGTTTGACAAAAACATTTAAATTACAATGACTAATAGGGACCTTAAGCAACGAGAACATTGACGTCCGGGACGTTGACGGGAAGTTGTTTATGCTCAAAATCTGTGACGTCACACGTCCTGGACGCAGCCAACGTTGTGTCCAGGACGTAGGTTTGTTGAGTTTTGCGTTGTCTCGAAAACGTTAACAAAATAAGCTATAAAAATGGATTTACCAGATGATTCAGTCGTCATTTTGTCTACTTCTGCAGAAAAACCGTAAGTAAACTCTTTTTTATTGCTTTTTATATTGTTATTTTGTCGAAAAAGGTTGAAATAGCAAAATAGTCACGAGTTTCTTCATCAAAATCACAAAAGGCATCTTCAATGTTCAATTTTTTTGTACCAACACTAGTAAGAATTGGTTTTCGATATGTTTTTCTCACAAGGTTGATAACAGCCTTGTTGTCACCTTCCAGTTTTTGTTGTTGCACCAAACTCTAAGCAAAACATAAACAAATAATAAGTATACTGGCTCTGTTTTATTTACGAGGCTAAATGGATGAAAAACGTAAACAACTTTATGAATATAAACTACTGCATATTTCAACATTTGAGAAACTACTCTTACTATACTTTTATTTTTAACAAGAGCAAGATGGAGTGGAGTGAGATAAAGGATGTGATCCTGTGTCGGGAAATATTATTGATTGAGCCATATAGGATGAAAGAAAGGACTGTGCAGAGAGCACAAGCATGGCAGAAAATTGCTGAAACCCTTAACAAGGTCAACTACCCAAGTTTTAAAGTGGACAAAAGATCTGTCCGTGAACACTTTATGAAAATTGTAGAAAAATTCAAAAAGAAAAATAATAAAGAAATGAGGGCAAGTGGGATCAGTCCTGAGGTAACCGAACTGGATACACTCCTGGAGGAAATTGTAGCCAGAATTGAAGGATGTGTGGAAGAAACTGTGGAGGAGAATGAAAAGAAATTAAGGAAAATTGAAGCTGAGAAAGAATAAGCTCAAGATATGCGACTGAAAGCCATGGAGTCTCTGGGTGAGACAAGAAAAAGATTAAGCGAAAACAGTCAGGAAGAAAAGAGCAAGAAGAAAAGGTCAAATGGATCTGAGCTGGTAAGTTTTCTACGTGACCGAGCAGACCAACAATTGAGATTGAGGGAAAAGAAAAGAGAGTCTAAAGATAAACACCATAATGATATGATGGAGTTACTGCTTCAGCAACAACAACAACAGCAACAACAACAGCAGTCCATGCAATTTCAGGCTATCTTGCAAAAACAACAAGAACAGAACCAAATCCTAATGGCCATGATCATGCACAACAAACCATGAGTTTATCATGTTATCCTTGTTAATAATAATTTGTAAGATGGTTTCATTTGAATAATGTTAATATTTATTTTTAAATGTATAAATGTACACCATGAATGTTTATTGAGTTAATTAAATTATCTGTGTTACATTACAATATTATATAACAATTTTGACACCCAATTTAATTATTTATTATTGTACATCATTTAATTATTGTTATTTAAAATTGAATAATTGAATTGATTATGAATTGAATATGATTTCAGTTGTATATGTCACTGATGACTTTACAAACTGCATGATAAATATGTGTTATTGACTGAGTGAGAGGTCCATACAGGCCGGAGGATACTGGTCAAGCTCTTTTTTCGCTTGTATGGACCAAAAAAAAGAAGGAGACCAGTATGACCGAACAAGCTCAGTTAATAAACTATTTATTATATGACTAAAAACGATTAAGACAAACTCAAACTGTTTTCCCACCAAACCTGGCCGGTCCCTACTCCTGGTTAGCAACCGCTCAGGAACCAATCAAAGTGCTTGATTTTAGTGGATGGACCACTCAACTGTACTAGTCATATAATAAAGAGTCTTACTGCAGGATGTCCTTGAAAAACAGGTCTGCAATATAATAATAATAGTCCCCTAATGGGGGATACAATTAAGCCATAATTGCAGAATTAATTAAAATATTCTTCAACAGATGGGGGATCAACACTAAAGTACTTGGATGTACTGTTGCCATATAAGCAAGTTATTGCATTTCTTAGAAGTGAGCTTACAATATAATGCTTCCCCACTGAGCTTAAGCCAATCTTTAGATTTTTTTTGAAGTCTAAAAATTTAAATGTACAAATGACATCTCCAAAAATCCACAGATTCACGAACAGAACTCATAGACTGGTTAAAGGCCTGCATCTGTGGAGTTAAGACCCTGTCGCGAAATGGTGCCTGCAGGTGTACCCGTAATGGATATGCAGGGTCACCATAGATGCACATCGGTTCTCCAACTGGGGAAAAGGCATGTTCTTCAAGGGTTGTCAGCAAGTTAGAGTCCCTCAACATAGAAGCATCGTGTTTTCTCCCCTCTGTGGAAAACAATAATAGCATGAGTTAACCCACTGAGCTGCAGAGCTTCCGCATTGACGAGTAAAATTGTCTGGCATTAGACAGGTAAAAAAAATAAGTAAGGCGCACCGTGCACTGTGGTGCATCGTGCACTGTGATGCGTCGAGGTTAAATGGGAATATATGAATGGGTTAATATATTTTTCAACATAAAATACATGCAACACAAAAGGCATGGATTTTTGTTGTCACAATGAACACCTGAATGCTATTAACACAAATAACAGGGTAGTTTACAGTGGAAAAAAGAACAAAATATTAATACAGGGAATACTGTAATAGTTTGTACAGTATAAACATCTGGAATATGGTGCATGCCAGCTGTCAACTGCTCACTTACCTACAGGACCAAAGAGATTGGCAATAATCCCACTTGGGATAGTCAAAGATTGAAATTTCAACGCATGGACGCGTTTGTGCCCATTATAAACGACGCGTTGGTTATCCCCTGGTCGACAAATAGGCCGCACTGTACCGTCGATGAAACCAAAACAGTTGGTTAAAGCGGCTCCTGCCTGGGATATGGCCTCAGCGTAGAACTGGAGAGCATCACTGTTTAACAGAGCTTCATTCCACTGTGTAATTCTTTGATGGTGATGCCTGTAAATCCAGTGCTCGACATTGGAAGAGATCATGCTCAACTCTGGAACAGCACGGCCAAAGCGGTGAATCATGTCGCTCAACCTGCATGGATACGTCAAGCGCTTCAAATATATACAAAGCCCTTCAATTCGGCCAGCCTTCGTTCTCTGTGGACAGGTGAAACTCTCTGGCAGACCAAGGGCATCGGCTAAGCGAACCACATTGTGCTTTTGAACACGAAATTCAGAGAAACACTCTGCTTCGTCCATATCCTCAAGGTTGAATCAGTCATATTTTCGATGTGGGAAGATCAAATTTTTTGAAATATTTGCTTCATATAGCAAGACAAATTCATCTTCGGTGATGAATTCATTGTCAAATGACAGTACTAACGCCTCACGGTTGTCCTTAAACGAACCCATTGACAAGTTTTTGAACCAGCAAAAAGCATTTATATCACAATTTTGTTTACATATTTTGCCACTCTGGGGTACGAAGGTCAAAGTGCTTAACGTAATTTATTTGACAACCGTGACGCATCGCGTACGTACTCGTCCCAGGAATTATCGGTCATGGCGTCAACGTCCCGGACGTCAATGTTCTCGTTGCTTAAGGTCCCTAATGACTCCTGTGGAGGCTTTGGGTTTGGTAAATTTTGAAAAATTTTAGCTTTATGCAACAAGCAAATGATAATGCTAACCTGGACTCTGAGTCGTTTGAGTGTTGGTACTTGTACTATCAAGCCCTGCAAGTAATGATGATTAATTACTGTAATTATTCTTAAATAAAGAGTAACTTAAAGAATAACTTCCAACCGTTACACTTTTATCTGCTGGCTTTTTAGCCATCTTTCACTTTGTAGCAAGAGATAATAATATTATCCATCCAATCTTTGGCTTTCGTTGCACTTCACTACATACAATACATGTGATAAATCGAATGTTTCTTATTTAAGTGAATGTTTCTTATGTTAATATACTGGCTCATTTTCTATACAGCGTAAAATACTGTTAGCGCAATCTCGCAAAATTTCCTTGGGATTAGAAGAAGCCATTTATAGTAGAGTGTATAAAGAAATATAGGCAGTATATAAAACGTAATAGAGTGTACAAAACAATGTTTACCGTTAGCCAGTGTATATTGACACTGACCAAACATAGTTGAGTGTCGCAGCCTTGGATCAATTTAACGGTGTACCTCGTCAATTCAAAGGTGCACATTGTCACAAACTAGAGATGATAATTTAACCTCTGTGACTTTGTAAAATCAAAGTCGCATTGCCTTTGCGATGAGTGTATTTCAATTTAATGATGCTGTATAATCATATTAAACCTGCAGCATCATTATATCAAATGGATGCCTGATCGTTTTGTTTTGATTGAAAACAATGATTTGTCCAACATACGGCGCCATAGCTACATACCAATTTTCAAACTGGAAACATAAATGTGTTCTCACACTTTGCGCATAGCTTTCAAGTTGTTCATGAACATGGGGTACAGAAAAATTACCGTTGCAAATATAAAGGTGTTCTAACACTTTTTGCATAACTTTCATATTATTCTTGGGGTTACAGGAACATTATCCGGGTTTCAAAAATAAATGTGTTCTCAAACCTTATGCATAATTTTCATATTATTCTTGGGGTTACAGGAAAATCATTAAAGTTTCAGACACAAATGTGTTCTCAAACTTTATGATGCATAATTTTCATATTATTCTTGGGGTTACAGGAAAATTATTCGGGTTTCGGAGATAAATGTGTTCTCACACTTTATGCATAACTTTTGTATTATTCTTGGGTCACAGGAAAATTACCGTTTCATTATGATTAATCGATTAAATATCCAATTGCATAAAAGAGCAAACACTGAACATTTAAAACAGATGAATTGTGAGGTGACCTTAGTCAAGTTTACTTTTAAAATGTTTTCTCTGGTACAAGAGTTAGCTTATTATTATTTGTGCGTTTGAGCACTGAAAAATGCATAGATAGGCACGTTAAAAAGTACCAGTTGATTGCAGGAGCTTAGATGTAAGAGATCTTAGTACACTGCTGGAAATCAAACAAACCTGGGTTGCTGTGTTAGACTTAAGAAGAAACAAGTTATTGACTGTTAAACTGTTAAAGTTCAACTGCACAAATCAAAGCAACGCTAACGAAAACCCAACTGACCCCCAGAATATGTCAATTGAAATCCCTGACAACACAATCCCCATCCTTGACACAAACCCATCCCCAATCCAACCCAATCCCCCACCCTCACCTGACATGTCTGATGAACAGATAGATGAATTTTTACGGACTGACAACGGAGACATAACAGACTTGGACACCTCCCTTATTTTTGGCTACAAATTCATCATATCAGATCAGGAAACTGATTCAATAGTAGAAGGCCTACATAAAGAAAAACAAAAACTTTTAAACACAGAACATGACAACCCGGAGACAAACAGCACACCCCACATCACAACTAACCCCCAAATCACAACCAACACCACACCACACAATGACCAACCACAATCCATTCCTAACCCCAACAGCAAACCCCACATTCCTCATTATTAGCACACAGAAAACCAAATTATCAAAATTCAAATGTACAGCTTTCTCCCCATAAAGACAACTGCCAAATGAATGCCTTTGAGATAAACAAGGGAAAGTTTGCCACTGCAGCTTTTGAAAATTGTGCCTTATTACAGGCACTTTTCTGGTGATCCTGTTGCAACAGCCACCGAAAATTCCCTCCAGAAAAGGCTCGGGAACTCACAGGTTACACCTGCACCTCAACCCATTTCAGTTACGCCATTGTCTCCCTTGATTCCAAATATTAGACAGCACTGTAAAACACTGGGTTTACTGAATTCAGATATCATTGACTTAAGTATGTTGCTTTGTGGGATAATGATTTTGTAAATGCAAGGGCTACCTGGAGTCTCAATTGAGGGCAAGTCTTCGGTAGATGGTACTGTTACATCAGGACGTTCTTCTTCACTTTCATGTTCAAAAATCTGATCTGGAAGTTCATCTACTTCGTCAAAAGGGTTTTCTTGTAGAACATCTAATCAAAATAAAAAAGTAATGTATTAGTTCTATTAAATATTACTATTAATGTAAATTTGAGAGTAATATGGTATGAAACATAACTAAATCAACTTTGCAAAATTATACTAACCTCGCATGTTTGTCTGTACAAGTATTTCCATACCAGACAATTAATTAGTGGAGCTACTTGTTTGAGATGTGTCTGGTGTTAAAGTAGCTGGTGTTGGCATTCTAACCTCACATTCTCAGCCTCGTACCCAGGCGCTTTATTGGAAAACATAAAGGCTGCATTCAGCGTAATATAGAGATCTGTGGCTAAAATGTGCGAGCGCGCAGGGGTGCTTGGGGAGGACGCGATGGGAGAACGAAGCGCCTGGCAGAATATGCAGATTTCCGGCTCCCACTTTTGCAAAAAGTGATAAATGCGTGAAGGCTACAATATGTAGATATATTTTGAAGAAGAATTGAACCTGCGATCAAAATTATGGATGATTTGGAACGATCGTTTCAAAAACTATCATTTGAAGGTAGCTTTATACTGAATTTTTTTATTTTACGACTATTTTGACAAATCTCGTTTCGTAAACAGTGTATGAGTATACTCCTCTGTGTTACTATGCAGTCGCGCAGTATTTAACACTATTTAAATTCGTCTTAATTTCCTTACAAAAGTATCGTCAAGCTCGGAGGAGGAAAGGTATACGTTTGGTATCGAAGAATCAAGAATTGAGTGTTAGAGGCGAGTGCTTAGTTGCCTTGAGATTTAAATATTTCCACTATTGATATTAATTAAACAATAATACATTTTTATTTTCATTCTATATCAAATATGCTATCAAGTTGCAATTTATATGCGTGTTACTAGTGATATACAATAACAAACTCCAGGTCAGATTGTTACCAGCACCCCACAGAAAGAGGAAGGAAAAGAATCATTTCAGCAGGGAAACATGCTTTAACCCCAATGCTTGGAGTTTGTGTGAATTTAACAATAAACATAAGTACATATTATATATCAAGACTCGATTGTCAGAAATTGGGACTGTTATTCATAAATTATACATATTTATGCTTTTCATAGGTAGTGGAAGATATAAATCACCAAATTTATGCTCTGAATTAGAAAGGTTGTTGGACTAATGACTATTGTGAAGACTCCAATGTCCATGAAAAACAGACATTATTAATGAGTTTACATGGCATTCTGATAATAAAAATAATACTTTGACTCGGGAATTAAAGAAATTTTCCCACATTCTACAAAAAAGAAAATAGTTGTTGGATGTGAAAATATTTATCTCCTTTTAGTAAATAGGACTATGGAACAATATAATTTATACATGTATTATAGTAATTTCTTGGAATACTGTACACAGCCTGCATCTACATTGTGTGATGTATATAAGTATATTGCTGTAGGGATGAATTAAGTCTATTATTTGCTTTGTAGTACACCAGTTGAATTTCATGTACAGTACAGTATACCAAAGAGTGTTGGTGTTGTAAAGGAATATTAATGAATTACTCTCTACATAGGTTTCAATAGTTAATTTTTCTTAACATTTAATACAGTTATTTACACTAATTTGTTAATAAAACCACATGGTAGTAAACCATAATATTTCTGTAATGCAGAATGAACTTAATGTAATGGAAAATGGCTTAGATGAACAGAATCAACTGCTGCTATTACTGCATTAGATGATGGAAACATTGAACTGGCTAATGAGCTTTGCAAAAGACCATAATGTGAAATTGCAACAATTTTTCAAATTAAACTCAGCATGATAAAAACGTACCAGGTCAAAGTCAAAATTCTTAGTGTTTCTGGAGGTGTTAAAATAACAGATTCCCCAGAAAAACAAATTAATAAAGAAGTCAAACAGATGGAAGAAATGTGCAACCTAAATCTGATGTAAATCATTGCATATTCGAGTAGATTCTCTTCTTTCAGCGCTCGTTAATAACTGTTTGTGCTTTGATATTCAAAAATGATGAATAATACAACGCAGTGACAATTTTTGCACAAAATCTTTCCCAAATGTACCGCCCGGTGATAGGGTGTACGGCAATTTGCTCATAGAATATGAATAAGTCGTCCGCCGGCGCCATATTTGTTGCATATTCTGCCAGGCGCTTCATTTGTCGCGTCCTCCCCAAGCACCCCTGCGCGCTCGCACATTTTAGCCACAGATCTCTATATTACGCTGAATGCAGCCTTTATGTTTTCCAATAAAGCGCCTGGGTACGAGGCTGTCACATTCTAAAGAATGAACAGTATTAAACACTTGACTACTGTATATACATATAATTAATTCGTGCATATTAGGATCTTTTGCAGCAGAAAATATTAGATTAATTCAATTAATTTATTTTTACAAATGACAGGCACAATGTTGTTCTACCTTCAACTATCTGCTCATCACTCTCTTTGTCTGACAATTGTTGAAGTGTCCTTACCATAAACAGCTCTCTTGCCTGTGATTCGAATTAAAGCATCACATG